GACTGACGTCATTCTAAGGGCCAGTTCACACCATATGCAGTTGTGATGCAGTCCGTTTATTTGACCGCTGCAGTCAAAATACATCACAATGCTTTCCTATGGGCTTCCTTTACACCATTGCAGTGTGAATAAAGCACAATGCTTTCCTATGGGCTTTCTTGTGCTTTATTCACACCATTGCAAGGTTTCTTGTGCTTTATTCACACCATTGCAGTGCAATGGTGTGAATAAAGCACAAGAAAGCCCATAGGAAAGCATTGTGATGTATTTTGACTGCAGTGGTCAAATAAACTGACTGGATCACAACTGCATTTGGTGTGAACTGGCCCTTATATGTTCTCAATTGAGGTGAGAGTATGTGAAATGAATGTAATCCTGAAACCTTAAGATTTTGATTATAGATTTTTTTTGGGGTGGTTTTTCTGGCTCTTACTGACGCCTTACCCTCACCTTCCTCATCACTGGGCCATCCTTCCAATGAGGTTGTGGGGAATGCAGAGCAGGCCAAATCTCGCAAGAAGACAGTCCATTGCAAGAGTGTCTCATGAGATTTTTGGCTGCTCTGCAATCCCCACAATATCGCTGGATGGAGTATGTTGTCACTCCAAGAATACAAGTCTTTCTGTGATTGGAGAGGAGGGGGCATGTATGTGACATCATCTCTCCCTTATTCAAAGAATGCTTTGTGTTCTTTCAGATAAATACAAGTCAACCTACCTATTTCTATTGGTATAGGTTTTCCTTATTGAGATTTCTGTGCCAAGCTCCGTACATTCACCTTTTTACATATTCTTAAGCAGTAAATGACCTCTGTAGCTGCAGCCACTGTGGAGTAATTCTCAAAGATCAAAGCTGAGCGTCTGTCTCCCAACTGCCAGTCCCTGCTGGCTCAGGAAGCAAGGGAAGAAGAGTTGTGATTTCACTGCCTCTGTTGTAAATGTTCAGGGCCCATTCTCACCTATCCCCAATGCATCATACACGCCTTGGTGCTGTGAGACGCCATTTACTTTCAATAGTATTTCAATGCACTATAACGCATGGTAACGCAGTACCTTGTGTTGTGATGTGTTAAAGATAATGGT